TTTCATCTCACTTTCACAAGTTCTCATTAGCACTCTTAAGTCTTTGTAATATTTGAAACAAATTCCTCTAGGAATATATTCATAGAAATTTTGCTGCAGCGTGAACATAGACTGTTATTTATCTTATTCTCATTTTATGATTGCATACCCTTTAAAGGACTTTAGAACCCAAAGGGTAAGTGGCACCGCACTGGTTCAGGAGATACGTATCCAGTTTTTTTTTTCTGAGGGGATTTTTTTTATTTTCTTTACCTGGCGTTTTTGTCTCGCCCTACAGGCTCGTTAAAATACAAACAGCGAGTGAAAATGCATATATCTTAATAGACGTTTTGATGTGTAGTATCGCTGAGTATTTTTACGAGCTCAAGTTGTGCCGTATTTTGACGAGCCCGTGAGGTGGGTCAAAATACAAACAACTAGTAAAAATACTCACCAATTGCAACACTTCACACCAAAAACGTCTAATAAGTTTTGTTATCCAACTTTTTTCTGCGAAGTCTTTCTATTCATTTCTCATAAGGCGGGAAAAACAAAGCGGACAGAGAAGCGCAGCCGACCATTAAACAGGTTTTTTTACAGTACAAAATAACCAACTGTACACATGTGGTATATACATATATTCGCGTTATTTGAACTCTACTTTGTGCAGTTGGATTATAAACCTAAATTATCTTGTGGTACCCTTCACCAACGCAGCACCACAGATTCCTTAAAAAACTAGTCCCATTTATTCATGCGTTGTTAATTACAATGCCCGCCGCTGGTGCCAGGCTAAAAGCAACTAAAAGAAGCCTAATCAGTAGACTGCATCTCTATATGCTGTTATTTTTGTTCCAATCAAATAGCGCGACGTTATTGGCTACAGTTGAAAGATAGTTGATGACGTAAAGCTTGATATATTAGATTGAAAGGAATCTAAACAATTGAGCACAAATAATGTGCTTTAAAAACAAATACCTAACTTTCCGTTTCAGACCAACACTTTACGGCTCATAAAAAAAAACTATTTCAACCGTGCGTTGACCGAATAAGAGACGAAATGACCGAAGTCGCCTGGAAATTCAGAGAATTTTCATCTTCAAAGCATACAAAGTGCTGTCTAGATAAATATAATTTAAGTGTTTCTGCTATTTTCAAAAGAGTTATTCA